TCAAGCGTTCCAAGATATCAGTCCGGATTGGCTTTCGCTTTTCTTCCAGGAGTAGAGATAGGATCAAGCTATCAAACTGCGCGTGCTGTTTAACAGCGTTCCAGGCATTAAGGTCGCGCAATGAGGCCTCGACTAGGACCGCGAAGGAACTGCAAATCAGATTTTGGGCGCATGTACCAGCTGGTGGATCGGCGGGACAGGCGCGGCCAATTTCAAGCAAGCCAAGAACGCGTCGGACCAAAGACATTGGATCGGCAATGAGAACGGACTCATCATCAGTCGGGCGATAGACTAGGTCGTAATTAGTTGAGGTCAATTGACTGAACAATGATCAATATTCGACATACCAGATATAGCCAGTAGAAGACATTCAATAGCTCTGGTAGCGAGCACAGTGGTTATAGAGTTAACGGAGAGAGAGCTGAACAGCTCATCTGACGTCAGGAACGCAACCAAAACCCGATTGCTATGAGACACAAAACCTTGGTCTGGGGACATCTGTAACGATCTTTAGCACGAATGTCATTCAAATCAAAGCGACCAGTTTACCTCTGCAGCCTCCTCGTGGAGACACATTGACAGTGTATTCAAGGAGTACAAGGCCTTGAAAGGTCTTTGCAACGGGAACATGTCTTTCTCGGTGTTGCTGTTGGATCGAATAAGTTCGAGGGCCCGCGCTTGAGGCGGGAAGACAACTAGGAAGTCAATGATCTGCCAAATGTCAGTGTCAATATTCAGCTAAAAGCGAAGAGGCAATGGGATTATACCTGTCGAGCCAAGTCATCTTTCAGGTCAAGCATATCATACAGCTCATCGAAGTGCTTCAGCACTTCGTTGTCCACTGCTGTCAGAGACTGCCGTCTCCCAGCCCACGTGATTTCATGGGCATCAGGGGCCTTTCGAAGAATGAGCAAGCCTGAAGAGAGCTTCAAGTCCTTCACAAGTGCCTCTGGATCTTGAAGCAACTCGATCTTCTGTCCACCGAGGATAGCAGTGAACTTAGAGAATCGGCTCAGCTGCACGAGCATTTCCACAAGCTCGGCAGCCGTTGAGAGACCACCAATGCGCTTTGAATAGATTTTGGACATGGAAGCGCCATTGAAACATTGATATCGAAATTCAATGGGTTCGCCTTTCAGAGGACGTTCCGGGAGGGTAGGCGGGGAGCCACGAGGGGAGCTGTACTGTGGCCGAGTTCGTAATCCATGTAGTAATTGACGTAGGAACAGTAGAGACCGGCTAAACATAAGTTCATCGGTTCCGGTGGCGCTATTGGGACTGTCGATATCCATAGAAGCTTCCCAATTGGTTGTTGCATCGTACGATGGTTTCAACGCAGCAGCGGCAGACTTCAGCTGGTCCACGCAGCGATCGACAAGAGCAATATGAGTAGCGTCGATGGCCGACCGGGGGGACCTGCGCACAATACCATGATCCAGGTAGCTATCAATGGCGAACTTGATGGCCTCGGCTTCGATCGATTGTGGAGGTGCCGTCAATATGAAGTTCCAGATCCGATCCATTCCAGGAATAGATATGACTTCATTTTCCCCGACAATGGGAGGCGACTTGATTCGAATCTCGTAGTGGACCGACTGTTGAGCGAACCACAATACCTCGCGCGAGTAGTCCTTGGGAGGCACATCCGGTAGATACTCATGAATGCATCGCTCAAGGAACGGGTTTTCCTTGGTAGTACGGTTGGTGAGATCAACCATCATTTTCCAAATCGCTTGACGCTCTTCAGAAGCCAGATTCTCGGACATGAAGATCTCCTTCCAGAGTGTGTTCCCGAGATCAGGAGTGATGGTTTCTGGGGCTAGATCAATAAGACGCCGCAGGATTTCCACCCTCGAGGAAAAGCCGTGCTTGGATGACGGATCCTCGAGCTTAGCATGGTCCTGGGTAACGAGATGGTGAAGTTCGACTATCACCAAGCGCGTCAAGTCGTAATCGGTCGCAAGTTTCCAAAGCTCTCGTGCGTCATCACGGGGAACTAGTGCGTTCAACACTTGGATGCTGCCCGCAGTACATTCATTCATCTCTCCAATGTCTTGAATGCAGCGCTCATATGTTTCTGCCATGTCGGTTTCGTTGAGTCCAGCCTTGATGAACTGTCCAAGCTGCTCGCTTCCAAATCCCTGCATAAGTTCCTTCTGTTCCAGAGGCAGGTCCTTCGCCCCAGAGCTCTCACGGATTAGGCGGATACAGAGCTTCAGTGGAATAGAATCGATATGCTCGTCGCCGGACATGTTGCGATAATCCCGATCACGCATGCGAGGCACCAGCTGCTCACAGAAATCGATTATGCGACTGTCAAAGCGATCCAAGGGCAACTCAAGCAGTTTTGAGCACACATAAAGCAGCGCTTTAGAGCCCGACTGGTGCATGGCAAAGGTTCGTGCGAGCATGGACATGACCTCACAAACAGTGCGATCATCTTGGCTCTCGGTGACGGTCTTCCAGATGACATCCGTGTCATGATCGGTGTATTTCGATGTTACAATCAGGAATCCAAAGATGTTACTGCTGCGGCTGATCAACTGTGGGTGTGAGTCAATGCCCACAAGATAATCGAGGATCTTGTTTTCACGAAGAAATTCAACCAGATATTTTAGGAACGGCGACTCGATCCCATCGCGGTTCTGGGATACATTTTGACCCCAGATGCTAACCAGATCCGATTGCATCATTTCCACGCCGTGGACACGAAGCTCCATTCGACCTTCCATGATTTGCTTTTTCAAAGTACCGAATTTCCACGTCCAAATAACACACAAAGCGGCTTGTTCTGCGTTTGCCTCCTCGGGTACTTGGACCGACAGTTCCTGGGCAAGTTGAAGCAAAAACTCCGAGTAGCCGAAGCAAAGGAAACGGTAGCTGCGGAAGATCGGGCTCAGAAGGCTATCGCTCAATTCACTGGTGGCCAGTTGCGACTTCTTTTCGACAAGTGTGTTGTATACTTTGTCAATTCCTCGAACGACTTCGTAAAAAGGCTGAAGGCTGGTTGAATCGATAGACAGGTCGACTGGGGAATCAGAACTGCCATTTTGGTCCGTCTCCGTGTCGCATTCAAACAATGCAAGTATGTTTACCAAAGGGCTTGGTAGCATGGTGACGACTTGCGAACATTTCGGAATCAATGCGAGCAGGTGCGAAGCGTATTGAACGAGTACGCCGGGTGCATCAAACGGAGGAGCTGACACCTGAGCTTTCAGTTGAGCAGAAAGATCGATAATTCCAGTGCGGGACTGGTTTTCTAGGACCCGTAGAAAGGGAATTTGGTCGCCATGGAACATCCAAGGGAAGCTATGAAGATATCGTCGACAGGTGCTTGGAGGCATTTCGACGTCTTCGTCATCTTCGCCAACAGCACTGAGAAGCGCGGTGTCCAAGCGAACGAGGTGGAGGACAATGCGAGCATAATCGAGAAAGTACTGCTCGAAGAAGCCTGAGAGATCTTCAATCTCATCCAAATACAGGTTTTGTTGTCTGCGCAAAAGACGGTCCAGGACAGAGGGCAAATATTCCCAGAAATCTAGATCTGCCGCAAATTCCTCGATTGTGAGCCGACCAAGGTCGCGCGCACAAATGTGAAGCCATTGTTGTATTGTAACAAGCGCCGTGCCTTCGCGCGGATGTCCTATTCGCCAAATTAGCATCTGGCCAAGTCTTGTTGAGCGGAGTCCCATATTACCATGTTCAAGCATATCACCAAGTGCCTTGAAGTTCTCTCGCGGTGTCATCTCAGTGTGTACTTTGGGGAACGTTTCGGAAAGAGGAGCCACGTCTTGGATCTCTATCACTTCGGGCTCATCCTGATCCCGCACGACTTGGCCCAGTGACTTCCAGTTCGAGGTATTCGGGTCTTGATTGATGTCTTCCGGTTCAGCAACTTCGATTTCAGGACTTCGGGGTGAGGAGGGTGAGGAGGAAACTGAAATGGGATTGGGGGCTGTAGTGGTATCTGGTAGGAGCTCCAGTTCGCTACCGGAGAGCTCACGGTCGGAGGGAGGGAGGTCAGGAGCCATGGCAGAAGAAGGGGATTTAGTGTTAATGGTGACTTTATTAGCTGGATTTCCAGAATCCGGGGCCTCATCCATGTCTGAGGCAGGTGCGATGGAGGCAGTACGCGAGGTTCCATCCAACGACAAGGTTGGACTGACGCGACTTCCACTGTCGAGACGCGGACGCTTCCGGGTCGCCTGAGGATCAAGATCCTCCATGGAGTCGCTGATGAATGGAGATTCTTCGATCAAGGGAGTGTGAGGTGGGGTGTAAGAGCTATCCGGCGGGGGTACAGCCATGTCATTTTCTGCGCGTAATAGATCCAGGATAGTTGAAACGCGTGAAATGAGGGTAATGTAAGAATGAAGGTTGAAGAGAAAGGTGAGTCCAATAAAAAGGATTGAGTGGGAGAAACGTAAAGGGTCCCTAGGGAAAAGATAAAACGGTCGACAGCTTTTTTTTTGGGGGACGCGCCAGGACCAGTGACGTTGTTCTGTGGAGAGACGAACAGGACTGCCTAGGTATCTCTCTTAACAAAGACACAAAAGCCAATCTGGGGATTTACAGTCGCATAATTGCATTGCAGCATTGCCTATTGCATTAACATAAAAGATAGAAAATAATGCATATATTTACTGTGAAGTTTGTAGCAAATGTTACTGCCTATCTACATTACTCCAGCTACGGTATAAAGCGCCAAAAAATGCACTGCCCCTTATGCGGCCTTATGCATCGAGTCTGGACCCCAGGACTCTTGGCATTCATTGTCTATTGTCTAACTTCAGTTTTATCAAGCGGTTTAGAAGTTGGAGTTATTTATCATTATATTGTGATTCTATATCGTTGTCTGGACCAGGCATGCATGACGTCCATGTAACATACTCACAGTTTCATTGAGCCCTTCAATTATGTATTCATAGATGCAAATGCAAATCACCAGGAAGTCTTTTACCTCTCTCATATCTATCACCCAATGAATAACAGAAGGTCACTCACTCTCTCATTGTCGTTTCAATCCGACGAATGATCTTAGCTGGATTCCCAGCAGCCACATGAAAAGCAGGCACATCCTAAAGCTAAAGTCAGCATGATTGTACAACTATGAGAAGGTGCATACAAAATACCTTGGTAACCACACTGCCAGCTCCAATAGTCGCACCTTTGCCAATAGTGACGCCAGGAAGTACAGTCACATTCCCTCCAAGCCAGCAGTCCTCCCCAATAACAATTGGGTTGCCAGTTTCAGGGCCTTCAGTGCCGTTGCGCAGAGCAGGATCAAGGGGATGGGTCCCAGAGAACAAACTGACATTGGGACCGAACAAAGTACGAGCCCCGACCGTGATGGGACACGTGTCGATGAAGACACAGTTGAAGTTGACAAAGACCCCTTCTCCAAGCTTGACGTTGAACCCATAGTCTATATGGACAGGAGATTCGACCCAGGGTTCCTTCGCAAAGAGAACTTCATCGGCTGCGGGGTCATCCAGCTTTGGTGGCAGAGGTGTCTTGTCGTCAGTGATGCTATATGACGGTTTAGCATAGAGTATAAAGAGTACGGCTCTAAATTGAAGTAATGCCAAGTCTTTGCTCAACTGCATCACTCACTCTCTCCACATTTCAACGAGACGCCGACGAGGCACCTCGTCCGACTTATTGAACCGATTACAGGCCCACTTGCAGCGCGAACGAGCAGCGATCAATTCCGGCGTGAACGCTCGGTAGAGCTCCCCGCGAAGCATCTTCTCTTTCTCAGTAGTCTGCGACATGGCTGTAATGGAGATAGCTATCGTATACGAAAATTGAATAGAGAAACAGCAAAGTCAGTGCACAAGTTGGTATCTCAAGACATACAACATAGATATCTGGAAACAAAGCCAAGACCATGTGGACCCGGGGATGTCCACGGGTGTCAAGTCGGGGGAAAGGTCCGCGGGTGCCGATGCAAAACAATACAACGCTCTTCAGATTGTTCTCAGACAATGAAAATCGACTCTCGCCACACTATTTAACCTCCACCAATTTCCTCGAGATGCCCGATCCTCGAACCAAATAAAAACAAGTCTCTTTCCTTCACCCCATTTCTTTGACAATGTTCTCCAACCCCTCCGCAACAACTTCCGGCGCAGAGCCAAACAAAGCCCCGAACTTCACGCACATTTCCAGACCACTAGTCCACGATCGCACCAACAGCAACACATCCTCCTCCTCCTCTTCCGATGTCTCGACCCACGCGCCCAGTCCGGATGCCTCGACCTACCCAGACGGCAAGATGTCGCTGGCGGGGATCTCGCTTCGCGCAATGCTCCTCGGTACCAGTCTCGGGCTATCAGCAAGCATGGCGTTATTCTTAAGCACCGTGTATTACACTCCGCTGTGGCGCGTACCCTTCTTCATCGCCTCACTGAGCCTGTTCCACTTCTTGGAGTTCTACGTGACGGCGCAGTACAATACCCGGTATGCGACTGTCTCCGCTTTCCTGCTCTCATCGAACGGGTGGGCATATAACATTGCGCACGGGTCTGCCATTGTGGAGTGCATTGTGTCGCATGTCTTCTGGCCCGGACAGACTGCTGCTGGGAGGATGATCACTGTGACGGAACCGTTTTTCGGAAGCTCGGTGTCGTTGCTGCTTATCGTAGGCTTTGTGCTTCTGTTGATCGGACAAGTTATTCGGACTGTTGCTATGGCGCAGGCTGCTAGTAACTTCAATCACCATGTGCAGAGTCAGCATCAGGAAGGTCATGTTTTGGTTAATACTGGTCTTTATCGGTATCTCCGGCATCCGAGCTACTTTGGATTTTTCTGGTGGGGTCTGGGAACACAGCTGGTGCTGGGGAATATGGTTTGCTTTGTTGGATATGCCCTGGTCTTGTGGCAGTTCTTCTCGAGCCGGATCAAGCGTATGTTCCATGTCCTTTTTTTGCGTATTGGAATTATTACTAACTGGTTTACGCGGTTGCAGGCGAAGAAGCTTACTTGATCTCCTTCTTTGGGGACGAGTATGTTGAGTACAGAAAAGTCACCTCGGTTGGTATCCCGGGAATTTAGCTGCAGGACGTTACAGTATCAGAGATATTGAATGGAGTACATATAAAGAAACCATTGGTATATGTGGAAATATATGGAGCTAGACTTGATCGATTAGAAGTCTGGTATATGGTATAAGGCGTGATCACACCGGTAGGCGTAGTAGCTTCAATCCTGCAAGCTATTTACATTGGCATCGTTATAGCTTACTTTCAGGCGCGACTCCTCCAACAGCGCCACTCATGTAAGGTCCACTCTCATCTGACTCGTCCGGGGCGGTCTCTGCACCGAAAAGGACAAGCTCACGCCCACCTTCAGTGCTCCACCATGTAACACAGCAGTGGGATCGATCAACATCCATCTCACCACCTGCTAGGGCTTCCCAGAAACGATCGATACAGGTATGTCGCATATTGCGGTCAGAAATTGTGTTGATCAACTGTGCTGCTAATGGGAGCCATTCTTTCAGATGTTCGACTCGGAGGAACGAAAGTGAATCGAGGAGAGCAAGGGTCAGGACAGCTTGTTCGGAGAGAGATGGACTCTGGTTCATGTCTGGATTTGGACCCTGTGGAGGGATCGGTGTAGAGGAAGCTTTCAAAGCACGGTCGTGAACAACCTCCAGCAAGATGGAGGGGAGAAGAGGCTGAGTATTTGCTAGAGGAGAAGGAGGTGCTGTGATTTGGATGACAGTCTTGAAAGCAAGACGGAATTGGCGCGCGGAAAGGTTATTTGGGAAAACCTATAGATGGTTAGAATCAACTTTCGTACAATAGCGGGAATAGAACTCACCGCAAAAAGATTTTCGATATAGAAAGGCAGGTGTTTGGCAGCCAATTCCGAGTTGTGGGGAATAGCAAATACAACAAGCACCACGCTGTGAGCAGCTTCAAAAATCTCCAACAGAAGACTGTTAGCACCGGCCGCGAGATATGGGAAAGCGGCGGACAATAATAGTTCCTCGTTCGTCTCTGAGGATAAGACAAGAGGGAAATGCTCTGCCACATTCAAGAAGAAAAGATCTAGACATCGCTCAACTGGGTGAGCAGGAATCTGTCCGATATCGCTTGGCTTAATGCTTCGCAGGAAGTTTTCGGCAAGAACAGGGTATTGTGAAAGGATGTCTATGGCTGCCAACATCACGAATGTCTGCTGGGATGATGCATTTTGCCCGATCCGAGAAGAGATGAAATACATATTGCGAAGTATGTGGAGGCATTGCATCGATATGTAGGGGGCACCTGCGGGTAACATAGTTAGTACAAAACAAGCATCACGACTCGTCTGTAACTTACTACTGTTGGCAGCAAGAGCCGCGTCATTGATAGTTCTCCCTAGCACAGCCCGGAGGGCAATAACCACCGAATATAAGCAATTTCGCAACATCTTCCAGAGGGCAGGAAGTGTGATTTCCCTGGATTCAGCATCTAGGAACTCCGCTTCTTCCGCAACATCGATCTCGGACAATTTATTCTGCCGCCATTGAACCATAAGCGTCCGAACGAAGTCCGCCAGGTAATCAACAGTCTGCCCAACAATTCTCGGATCCCGAACATTATCAACGGAATGCGCCATTAGACGAGACAAAGGCCCAAGAGTGGACACAAGCGGACGAGCAGCTACCGCCGAGACAATGCCAAACGTGGGGGAGTTGGACGACCAACGAAATTGCTTCCCGGGAGCCTCAACAACGTCTCGATCAATAGATCCTAAGAAATAGCCGCCCTCGAGGCCCTCCGAAGACAAGTATGCTGACTGAATCATCGCCGGGAGTAAGCGATCGTAATCCAACTTGCTTCTCTCGAGATCAGACAGAAGCTCAAAGGTGTAGTTCAAGACCATAGTGATGCACTGTCCATCAATCCCAGTCTCTGGGCCAACCTCCTCTAGCGCTAATTGCGCCGCTCTCACAAGCGCTGACTCGAGTTTCACACGAATATGTCGCGGTAAGCCCCGTCGGTTTTGTCCCTCAAATCCCATCAAGATTCCGCCAAGCAGAAGTGTATGCCTCCACCGCGGGGACTTATCATCGGCGCCCTCAGCGACCGCCTTAACCCACGCCTCATACTCAATTTTCCTATTCCGACCGTACGGTATCCGAGGTTCGTCGGTAGTATCACTCTGCAAGACAGCGATGGCGGCGGTGTTGAAGACGCTAAGGATCTGGCGACATGATTGAAGGTCGACGGGTTGACTCCAGAGCGAAGGTGCAGTGAGGAGTTGAGACGAAAGGAGTGTCAGGTTCAGAGGATTCCCCAACATTGACAGGAAACTGGTAGCCGTGGGAAGCAGACTGAATTGGCCTGTCGTTAGCCTAACATTGACCTCCCCAATCGAATTGGGGGTATGCGGCACTTACGAAGCGGCATCTTGGAAGCTGGAAGTCGCCTGCAGCGACCGCAGCAGTGTAGCCAGAGATCGTTCCGTGGCCATTTCAAGTCTGGAGGTGGTAGGGATGCTCCCAGACAAGAGGCTCTACATCGCTCAGGGAGTGAGATGATCAACCGCGGAGAAGCCGAGGTCCGGGTCCAGAGCCAAATACGGGGGCGTCCGCGCAAAGCTGACCAATGGGCCGTAACCAAACAGTGCAAACAAGCATCGTCATCTCCGAGAGTCTCCAGACTTGCCATTTTTGTTGATACGCGTGTAATACATATCTGGTCAAAGTGACTGTCCCCTGTTCATGTGGCATGCTTCGATGATTGATCTTCGCTGCAGCTGAACTGGCGCAGCTACCTCTCCATGGCCAACAACCGCATCCCGATTAACTACGAAGTACCTTCCTTCCCGTCATTGTACGATCCCCTGCCGGCGCATCATCAACAAGCCTACTACCTCTACTACACGAAGGACATCTGGCGCTTCACCTTTTTCTGGACGTTGATATTCTACGCCGCGACACATCTCACTGTTTCTGGGTGCGCAGTATTGACTCACTTTCGTAACTGGAATGTGATATGGATTGTGCCTTTGGTGTACATTTTCATCGCAGCGCTGGAGGCTCTTATAGCTGGGAGTATAATTGGAGTTGTGTAAGTGGGTTGTTTGACATTTGGTCTCCTCGGGATGATCAGGTAGCTAACGCTTCTACGGTGGATAGCCTCGGTGCGGTGTATGAAGCAGGCAATTTCAGGATGTCAACTTGGCTACCGATGATATGGGGTGGAGTCAATGTCATGGTTCTTATTGTCACCAGTTTCCCCATGCAGGGTGGTCTTTGAATGGTGGTCTTTGAATGGTATCCCGGCTGCTACTATCTTCGATCATACTATGTACAGGATATCGTGGATGGCAACTACGGATTCGAAATATGCCCACCAACCTACACAGTCTCGCCGACAAAGATCGAGGAGACTTCGAAATGGCCGGAAATTTCCTATGATACAAATGGGATTTGATATCTCAAATAACGCCGTCGCCCCGTATCAAAGTAGCCATGCTATGTCCTTTGCGCCAATGCCAAGCCGATTCAACGTGCATTTCAAATCAGATGTCCATGTCCCCTCACTATCTCCGATTGCCATCAGGCGTACCACCGCCTTGCAAACCAGGCAGGCCACCAAATCCACCAGGGAAGCCAGGGTTGTTCGCCAAAGCTTGGAGGTTGAAATTCTGTGGCATGGGGAAACCCTGGAGTTGCTTCTGCAACTGTGCTAGGTCCATATTCATCGGCGGTGTTCCGGTCATACCCTGCGGCATAGGGAACCCATGCATTGCAGGTGTCGGGGTACTTGACTGCGATGGAGGGCGAGAGGACATGAGTGCAGCCAAACGGCCCGGATCCATCCCACTCATCGCACCTCCATCCATTACTGGCTGTCGAGGCTGAGCACTGCCAATACCAGGCAGCAGACCTACAACGTCAGGCTGAGGCCCGGCCGGCGGCGCACTTTGAATACCTGGCAGAGCAGGGCCGCCTGGTCGTCGTTGGTCGACCAGGCTGTCAGCTTCGTCCTGCATTTCTTGCTCCTCGTCCTCGCGCATTTGTTTCCGGCCGAACCCGCGGTTCCATGTTCCCTGGGCTTCTGCGGCCTCTTCGCCGATGTGGAATCTGTCTTTCATATAGCTAGTCTCGCCAGGCCGGCTCCGCGACCAGAATCGAGTGAAGTTATCCTTAGATCCAGAAGCCAAGATATGGCCTAGTGGATGCCAGTCTAGTGACCAAATCGTAGCACCGTGCGCGTACTGTATCCTATGTGCCGGATAGATCACCTGCGGCGGAGTGTTGGCTGGGTCCGGGCTGTCATACGGCGCCACGGTAGGAATCTGGCCGGCCGGCAGGTGAGGCTCATCAAGTAGATAATGATATAGAGAACCATCCTCGGCTCCAGTCGAGATGAGGTTACTGTGAATCGGGTGCCATGTCAGAGAAGAAACCGGCTTGTCATGGCCTCGCAGAATGCAAATATCGCGCATCATCCGCAAATCAAATACTCTCGCGGTCTGGTCTCGCGATGAAGTAGCAAGGAGGTTGCTATTCACACGCGAAAACCGCGTCGATGTGACGGTGTTTTTGTGACTGTGGAGGGTAGTCAAGCATCGACCAGTGCGCGGATCCCAGAACTTAACCTGGTGGTCCTTCGATCCAGAAACGATCAAACCCTTGGTCGGGTGCCAGTCGCAAGACTTGACATCCCAGTTGTGTCCGGTCAGTGTTGCGTCGGCCGTTCGGGTTGCAAAGTCGAAAATTTTGAGGGTTGTGTCATCGGACGCTGAAAGAAATTTAGTATCACTGGGTGCCCAGGCCAGATCGCGGACAGCGTCGTGGTGCGCGTCATCGATCGTCTCGACGTTGTTGAAGTTTGGTCGCCAGTATTTGATATCGCCTCTCTGTCCGCCAGAGACCAGCCAGTCCTGGCTATGGGCCCATGCCAAGGACGTGACACCAGCCTGTATTTGATCGTAGTGTGCCTGTACCGGGGGAACGTCTCAGATCAGTAAAGGTGGAATCCGCACATGTTGTAAATACGCACATCCATAACCGTCTCGAAATTGAACGCCGTTCCATTCCAAAGCATAAACTCTCCCGTATGACCGCCGGTCAACAGCCGCCTTCCCTCAGGAGTCCATCGCACCACGACGATGGGTTTCTTTGATTTTCCGATTGACTGGTGAAGGTGGCGGACGGGGATTGTATCGACAGCAGAATGGGGCCGCGCCATCGGGGGAAGAACCTGTTCGCAAGTTAGTCTCTTTGTCCGCCAGCTCAGTACAGCTCAAGCCACATACATCGACAGCAAAGCTGGCACTCGGTCGTTCTGTCTCCAATCGATGTCCTCCTTTGTATCTCGGTTGCCGTGTTCTCATCCATTGTACCATTGAAGAGCCATAATCCGTGACGAGACCTGAGAGTAAGAGCAACCGTTGTTAGTCGGGCTATGAACAAGCAGAAGCTCAATCAAAGTCAACTCTAAAGCAAGCAACGTACGTGGTCTGCGAGGTCCGACTGGCCCATCGAAATTCTTGCCAAACCGCCCTGGACCGTCACCTGCATTGTCCTCGTAGTAGGCCATCGCGACCGGTTGAAAAGATGTACAAGATCAAGGCTGTCGGTTGGCGATCATGAGGATGAAAGGCAATTGAATTTTCAAATACCGATCGAATACTGAATCGGACCGATCCAAGACCTATAAAAAGCAAAAGATGCGGAGAGAGTCGAAGCTCTTCGGAGCGCAGGATCCGTCCCTTGAGCGCATGTGACGCTGATTGGCCCCTGCGGATTTGACCTGCAAGCTTGCGCTATGATGTCTCTGGCCCCGCCATGTCCAGTATTAAATCATCTTGTTTCTGGTTCTTTTGTCTCTTGTCTTCTTTTTCTCTTCTTCTCTTCTCCTCTGTCATAATTGTGCGGCCTGGTTGTTGTTTCAATCTTCGCATTGCTCTCCGTCGGTGCTCCGGTTTCATCGGAGCTCAACTTAAAAAGACCCTTCGACTTCTCGCACTACCGAGGTCCCAGAGCTGTTAAGATGACTACTCGCACTGGAGCAATTGCGAGCGCTCGCGAGGAATCGCAGCTCAATTCGAGGAAAGGGGTCCAGAATGAAACCGAGGTCGCTCTACCATCAACTTCAACTGCAAAGAAACGAAGTAAATATCGCCATGTAGCTGCATATCACTCGGAATCTCGTCCTTCCAGCCTCAGTCGAGAGGCCGATGTCCTGCCCAACTTCCTGGGATTTCGGAATCTCATGGTGTTGGTACTTGGTAAGGGTCGCTAGGGAATAGCATATGCAAACGGCTAATGTTTTGACAGTGGCAATGAACCTGCGATTGGTTATTGAGAACTTCATGAAAGTGGGTAATCCAAATGTCCCAGTTACTCCTTGAAATTCATCAACTAATAAAAATATAGTATGGCGTGCTAATCTGTATTAAATGCCACGACTACCGCAGGCAAGACGTTGTGCTTGGGTCTATATTGTTTGCCTCGGTTCCATGTCATTTGCTCGTGGCATACATCATTGAACTTTCAGCCGCTACAGCAGCCAAGCAGACAGTGGGCCGTCAGAAGAAGACAGAGAAAGAGAAAGAGCACGACCAGAAAGTCTTCCAGTCGACATGGCCGTACACTGCTTTCCTACACACGCTCAATGCCACGCTATGCCTCGCAGTAACCAGCTTCGTGGTGTATTTCTACATCCACCACCCAGGCATTGGGACAATATGCCAGCTGCACGCGATCATCGTGTGGCTGAAAAACTGCTCTTACGCCTTCACAAACCGAGACCTCCGTCTCGCTTTACTCAATCCCTCCGCAGACCCGGGCTTGCCCAAAATCTACTCCTCATGTCCCTACCCGAGGAATATTACCATTAATAACCTAGCATACTTCTGGCTGGCGCCGACGCTGGTGTATCAGCCTGTTTACCCGCGCACAGCATCCATCCGGTGGTCATTTGTTGCAAAGCGCCTTGCCGAGTTCGTGGGTCTGGCGGTGTTCATTTGGCTTCTGTCTGCGCAGTATGCCGCACCGGTGTTGCGCAACTCGATTGATAAGATCGCAGTAATGGACATTGCCTCGATTTTGGAGCGGGTTATGAAACTGTCCACTATCTCGCTGATTATTTGGCTTGCTGGCTTCTTTGCATTGTTCCAAGCGCTTTTGAATGCTCTGGCCAGGTCATGCGGTTCGGAGACCGCGAGTTCTACACTGACTGGTGGAACAGCTCCAGCCTGGGTATGTATTGGAGGTCTTGGAATCGGCCTGTCTATCTGTTCATGAAGAGGCATGTTTACTCTCCCCTGGTGGGTCGGGGATGGAGTCCTCTGGCTGCGAGTGGAATGGTTTTCACGCTCTCTGCGATCCTTCACGAAATGCTCGTGGGAATTCCTACACATAATTTCATCGGTATGTCTTTCCCTCTCTGGTCACAGCTCGAGTGCTAATGAAGTCCCAGGTGTCGCGTTCTTTGGAATGATGTTCCAGCTGCCGTTAATTAGCCTCACCGCACCGTTAGATAATATGCGCGGGCCTGAAGGCAGGGTTATTGGAAACTGCATCTTTTGGGTCAGCTTCTGTCTAGTCGGACAACCGCTTGGAGCGCTCCTATACTTCTTCGCTTGGCAGGCCAAGTACGGGAGTGTAAGTAAGATGGTGCCGAACATGGGAGCATGAGCTTTTCGAACATTTAGCCATTATGTGTATCGCATTTCTCTTGACGTATATGTTTGGGCTCATAGTTCTCTTTGGGCATGTATTCGTGAAATGCTACAAAACATCCCTTGCATGATGTCCGATTGTTTATTTCGCATTGTCACTAACTCGTACGGAGTACATGCATAGTACCCTTGACGAAAAAGAAAAGAGCGTACTTATGCAGGATCTAGAAGTTTCTCCCAAGGTCTAAGATTATCAATTGGAAAGGCCAACTATACCTAGGTATGTCCTTCCAAGGTTGACAGGCCACGGGCCCGGAACGAACGGACCAATTCATTGCACCGACGGGAGCTCGGAGTTTGTGGCCCCGGAATCCACCCCAACTATAAAGGACCCCCAGAATCAGGCAAAATCACAAACTATCTAATCTCACACCATTTCCCCAGATTCTCTTCTCATCATGGTCGCATTCATTGTTCCCGGCAACTACGGGTAGGTGGTCCAAGCTCAACCTCCAAGCTTCCCTGAAATCCGAGGCTAACATTACTTCCCAGTGCCGTCATTGGCGTCGCTCTCGGTGCCATCCCCGTCTTGGGCTTCGTGCACGGCATTATCACTGGCAGCCTGCGCAAGGAAGCCAAGGTGCCCTACCCCCACAGCTATGCCTCCATGGAGCTATGCAAGGAAAACGTGCGTATCCCCCATCTATACCCGGCCTTGGCAAGCCCCCATATTCAAGGAGTCTTATTACTTCCTATCGAGTACTAAATGGCACCTACTAAACTGGTTATAGGCCAAAGCCGAGCAGTTCAACTGCGCCCAGCGTGCCCACACCAACTTCCTCGAGAACGCTTCGCAGACAATGCTCTTCACCCTGGTCGCCGGTCTTAAGTACCCTGAGTGGGCTGCTGGCCTGGGAGCTCTCTGGGTTTTCTTCCGCGCTCTGTTCCTTTACGGCTATGTATACTCGGGCAAGCCGCAGGGTAAGGGCCGCATGATCGGCGGGTTCTTCTGGCTTGTGCAAGGTGCTCTGTGGGGATTGAGTATCTACGGTGTTGGACGTCCCCTGCTTTCTTTCTAAGCGATTGAAGCTTGAAATTCTCTAATGTCTTGAAATTGAAGAACTATGTATTTCTACAATGTTGTATATCAACTGCAACGTACTCCGTATTATGCGCCACAGTTCCAGCGGAAGGTTAGACCCGTGGGGGTCCACTGTGGCAGAAAAAGTTCCCCGATTGTCTTCGATTCGGACTTGCTTCTATTATTCTACTTTGGACGTCAAGAAGACAATTACAATCATATCCTAGAGGAATCTGTCATTTTATTCACTCTCCTCTTAAGATCTCAAAATCACATACCCAATACATAACCGTCACTTCGCCCCGCCAACCCCGCCATGTCGTCCAAGTCGCAATTGACCTACAGCGCCCGCGCCCAATCGCACCCCAATCCCCTCGCGCGCAAGCTTTTCCAAGTCGCCGAAGAGAAGAAGAGCAATGTTACTGTCTCCGCTGACGTGACCACAACAAAGGAGCTCCTGGACCTCGCCGACCGTAAGTGAACCCAGCTCCCCCCACTCCACAGGAACAAACCACTAACCATCCACAGGCCTTGGCCCCTACATCGCCGTGATTAAAACACACATCGACATCCTCTCCGACTTCAGCCAAGAAACAATCGACGGCCTGAACGCCCTAGCGCAAAAGCACAACTTCCTCATCTTCGAAGACCGCAAATTCATCGACATCGGCAACACAGTCCAGAAACAGTACCACAACGGCACCCTCCGCATCTCCGAATGGGCCCACATAATCAACTGCTCCATCCTACCCGGCGAGGGCATCGTCGAGGCCCTCGCCCAAACCGCCCAGGCCTCTGACTTCCCCTACGGCTCCGAGCGCGGCCTCCTCATCCTCGCCGAGATGACCTCAAAGGGATCCCTCGCAACAGGCGCCTACACCTCCGCCTCCGTCGACATCGCGCGCAAGTACCCCAGCTTCGTGCTGGGCTTTGTCTCGACCCGGTCTCTCGGCGAGGTCGAGTCTACCGAGGCGCCCGCGCAGGGTGAGGATTTCGTCGTCTTCACCACTGGCGTCAACCTCTCGTCTAAGGGCGATAAGCTCGGTCAGCAGTACCAGACGCCGCAGTCGGCCGTTGGCCGCGGTGCTGACTTTATCATCTCTGGTCGTGGTATCTATGCCGCTCCCGACCCCGTTGAGGCCGCTAAGCAGTACCAGCAGCAGGGCTGGGAGGCGTATCTGGCCCGCGTGGGTGCGCAATAGGAGTGTGCAGTCCACCTTCCACTATAGCTACATGCGTGTTGATGCATAATGAAAATTCTTACATCAGTGTTTTCACGGCCTCGGGACCTCGGGACCTCCCGAGTGCCTTTCCAGGGCTATGTAGGGGCTTTCTGGTATGTACAGACGATGCAAGGGCAAGGCTGAGTCCAAACATACATGCAAGTGCTCAATGGCATGTTTGACCCATCTTCGGCGAATCCTGGGATCAAAAGCCAATCTCTGAATATCCGAATATTTGGAGTAGATTTGATAAGGCCTTCTCCAAACCCGAGATACCACCTGGACAACAGATAAGAGTAATCCGGTACTTTTGCTTCTTCGGAACCTACGACGGAACTAGAAGTGGAAGCATCTTGATGTTGTGCTCAGGTGCATTGTAATATCCAGCCTATCCTTGACGTAATATCTCTTAATCGATGTGCATCCCCGCACATACACCGAGGCTCTAGCCCTAAGTTATAAGCCTTCCATTGTAATTAATAGACATAACGCCCAGAAAGAAGACAAGGGTTGTTCCCTCTACGCCGATCATTCCCCTCACCCCCTCTATTGACCGTCCAATGAGACACATCACAAACTGGCAACCCCAGATAAATCGGCTTATCGTGGAGAGACCCACAACTTACCTGCCGTGTTGCATATGCGGTGATAGGAGGAGTAACTCGAGATAACGGTAAGTACGAGCGATGCAGTGTGCTCGTTACCCGGTTTTGCTTAGACAGGGTGCAGGATATAGTAACGAACTTGGTGTTAGGTACAGAGATCGTCCCAAATAGATATCTGGCGTGCGGAGTTCCAACTGTTCTTTTACGTTATTTAACTGTGTCCCCCCGAGGTTTTTCTTTTCGGTCTCTTTATACATTCCAAGGTTGCCTCCGCATTGCTTATAATTGCACTGCCACTCACTCGGGGTGAGCTTAGCCCTGTTCTGTGTGACCTTGTTTGAACACAATTACTCTACTGCCCTGACCTTTCTCGCTCTACTTTCTACTTTATAAAACCGACACTATGGCCTCAGAGGAGAAGGCTGTCGGTATTTCCTCTGGCGTGGATACTGGCTTCGATGTGGGCAAGACAAAACATGTTGACCCCACGATGGAGAAACATGCACACGACGCCGATGAGGCTCTGAAGGCGCTTGGCGATCTTCAGGGTGAAACTATCGAGCTGGATGAGGCTACGAATCGCCGTTTGCTAAGTATTATTGATTGGCATATGATGCCTATTATGTGCTTTGTCTATGGCATGAATTATTTGGATAGTACGTGCATACCTTCCCTCGATTTGTCTCCAGGTGGAGCAAAGCTTGAGAAGTCTTAGGTTTATGCTTCGTTCTGTTGGCTATTTATTCAACCCAAAGTGCTAACATGTGATCCGATGTATAGAAACCACCCTCTCCTATGCCAGCGTTATGGGTATTAAGAAGGATCTGAATCTTGAGGGAGATCAGTATCAGTGGTTGGGAAGTTTGTTCTACTTTGGTATGTTCCATCTCTGCTTTTCTTCTCATGAATTGATTCTTCTCCGGAGGCTTTAAAGCTAATACCTCTGCATAGGTTATCTCGCCTGGGAATACCCAACCAACCGCCTCCTCCAGCGCCTCCCACTAGGAAAATACTCTGCAGCCTGTATCTTAATCTGGGGATTGATTCTTAGCTGTTTTGCCACTGTCAGCAACTACCAAGGTGCTATTGCTATCCGCTTTATGCTCGGTGTATTCGAAGCCGCCGTGACGCCGGGCTTTGCACTCTTAACTTCCCAGGTACGAAAGCCACCCATTTCTCCCTGTAACCAGTAACCACAACCGATAAAAATACAATGACACGAGCTAACAGTCCCAACAGTGGTACACAAAACAAGAACAAGGCAGCCGCGTCAACATCTGGTTCAGCTTCAATGGCGTGGGCCAGATCTTCGGCGGAGTAGTCGCGTACGGCATCGCCGTCGGCACCGAGAAACACGGGTCCTCCATCGACCCATGGAAGATTGTTTTCCTCGTCACGGGTCTCCTCACCATCTGCTTGGGTCTGGTATTCCTCTGGATTGTACCAGACAACCAGCTCAACGCACGATGGTTGAATGAAGAAGATCGCATCTTGGCTGTTGCGCGTGTGCGGGTCAATCAGCAGGGTATTGGAAATAAGCATTTCAAGCTATATCAGGTCAAGGAGGCGCTTTTGGATCCGATGACCTGGGCTTTCTTCTTTTATGCTTTGATTGCTGATATCCCCAATGGGGGTATCACCAATTTCTTCAATCAGCTGGTATGTGGGAATTTATAAAGATGTGATGTCAGACTTGCTGATCAGTTCAGATTACAAGCTTCGGATACAATGAGAAAGAGAGTCTGATTCTGGGTGTCCCTGGTGGCGCAGTGGAAATCGTTGCATTGCTGCTCAACGGCTATGTGGGACATATCACTGGACAGCGTATCCTTGCCAGTTTGGGTGGGCTGGTCGCTGCGATCGTGGGGATGTTGCTCATTGTCGCCCTGCCCTTATCGAACAATGTTGGTCGTTTGATTGGCTACTACCTGACACAAGCCAGCCCAACACCTTTTGTGGCATTGCTGTCGCTGATTTCTTCCAATGTTGCGGGATATACTAAGAAGACGACTGTGGCAGCTTTGTATTTGATTGGATATTGTGCTGGAAATATTATCGGTGAGGAAGAAAAGAGAAAATACGGAGAGCGCGCGCTAACACAATTTCCAGGCCCACAAACCTTCCGCCCCAAGGACGCTCCCCGCTATGTCCCCGCGGAGGTGACAATCATCGTCTGCTGGGGTGTGTGTTTGTTCCTGCTGGTTGGGGTGTGGATGTGGTATCGTCGTGAGAACGAGAAGAAGCTCCTTTACACTGCCCGACCAGAATATGTGAGACTAGAGAATCAAGAGTGAGTGATTTATGATGTCTACAGACTAGCTGGCTTTTTGCTAACTTTGACTGCAGGTTCCTTGATTTGACAGATCGTGAGAACCCTGAATTTCTTTATTCTCTTTAAATCAGAACTTTGAAGATCATTATGAATTCAAACATTTTCGTATGTAGACCTCGTTGAGACGGTGTCTCAACACATGCAGGATGCACTGCCTATCATAGGTTAGTTCCTTATTAGTTCCTTATTAGTTTCCTTAGTGTATTTAGTTAGTGTATTCACCTTTTTACTATGCCATTTCTTAATGATCGTCCAAACAGAGTTTCTGCATTGACAATGTGACCATGTGGAAGTGAATGGTTTGTTTTTCTTCTATCTATCTATCTATTATTATAGTCTAAATTCTATAAATGACTATACCCCATACTCCCATACAAGTGACCTTGGAAGCCCCTGCATTTGTAACTGCAAGTATCTGCAGGGTAACCGCCTTCATAGGATGATCATGGCCAGAACAACTTCCCCCACTCCGCTAAAATAAATGAGAAGCGGTGTGCATTGAATTAAAAGAAATAAAAGGAAAGACATTTGCTGTTTTCTTTTTTCTTTATGCTTCATTTCAAGATGGAGTTGATCTCTCGTTTTAATACATGTTAACCTAACAGATGTAATTTTTATCATGAACTTCCCATACATCTGATCTGGGCACCTGCCTATATTTGCCTATGACAGTTTCCGGGAATGGCCTCCGTCACATGCCTGGCCCTGGAGCCTTCTTTGGCTTCCAAGTGCGCGCCTCTTGTCACAGAACTCAAGGGATATCCCTCTATATCTCCATCTGAGATGGCCAAGGTCAAAAGGATCGATCCACCGGGAAATGAGCCTGGCCGTCGACAATCACAGACATCGACATCTACTTCGATCAGCCACTCTCGCTCAGCATCCCGCAGTACTGTGCCATCCCGACCCAACAGTCGTCGCAGTTCCGTTCACTCACCGCGCCGGGCTGTGCCCAACGCTGCCATCGTACCTATCACCACAACTCGCAGTTCCATACAGGACAAGCGCGAGTCATTACTAGCCCTACACCGGGAGTCATGCCGTCTGTTTCAAGGCGATGCATCAAACAGATCCTCGACCGAGACAAGACCTTCTCTACACCGGACAGCATCAGCTACATATAGATCGCAGCATGAGAGCCACACATCAGAGAAAGGCAGCTCGGCACCTTCATCCCCAATCATACCTTCATATTCTGGCTTCCGCTTTGAGTCTGAGTCTACTTTACCAAGCTCAACGAGCCCACCGCACTTTATCACACCAAGAGATCGATCAAACACCTTGCCCAGCAGACACCACCACAGCCCCTCGTCCTCGTCCATCCACGTCCCGGCGACAGTAATGGAATGGACCTCACCTGATACCCGGCGGCGTGAGTACGAGAAGATTGACCGGGCAAGTAGTGGTGTCCGGGGCCTCTGGCGCCGGGTCGCGCCCCGCTGCTTTCAGTCCCGCGACTCGCGCACCCCGTTCTTCGAGGAAGGCAAGACGGAGCGCGAAGGCAGCGTACGTCGGTTCCGTATGGATATCCCCGAAGACGAAGAGCCACAACCGGAGTCTCAAGGAAAGTCGCAACCCCAGCTCTTGGATTTCCTGGGCAAGACCTCGACCTCCAAGTCGAATTCTAATTCAAATTCCCCTGATGGCGCTCGAAGACGCTGGACGTGTCTCCGTTCGAAGACTTCTCCCCTTCCTAATGCCTGAATTCTTCGTTCCGAATTTGATTCTCATTTATCACCCGCCTTATCACCCAGAGCCTAGCACAGGTGCTGCTCGCAAAACTACACTGCTTCAACTGTTTTTCCTATGATACCATGATCCCTGAATGATGATCTGCATTTGCATCCAGTGGTTCCCATTTCAACGTCTCCCTCGGCGGGAACGTTCCCCTCTGGCTTATTCTTATCTCCAGTCCCTTTTGCATTTGTTGCATTGCTGTCGTTTTTGAAGACTGAGATACCCTTATTATTATTGGAACTTTGTACATAGCCTCATGCGGTACATACATACTTTGGCTCTAGTGATGCTGTCTTTTGGCATAATTAACTGCTCGAACTCTACACACTTTTATGCAGTTACTAGTCGTGCTGCTGACTTGGAGTAGACTGACGAAGATTTCGAAAAATAGCTGCTTAACATCTTCAACCGGAAAACCCTCCAACTCTCGATGGACGATTGTCCAACCAGGAACTGCCAACAATCTGGATCGAGTACCGGCAGTCATTTCCCTATTCAGATCATCATCCCAAATGCCGGTTCGTATGGCTCGATGCCTATTCGCTGAGATCAGGTACGCATGACCACTCGGCAGGCATTGGTCCTGTGCGCATTCCAATTAATTGATGTAAGTTTTTTCGACTATCGAAGCCCATCTCTTTTTATTGGTCATCCAGATGCATGAAATATCCTCTATAAACAACCTCGGTAGATTTGTATTTCTGCTTCCACTGTTTTCCCGTGTGATTTCTTGCATGAATGGCTGTTACATGCTACCTGGCAACACCCTATCTTAGTAGCGTGGAAATATCCCTTTATCATCCTTCGAGTTGTTAGGCCTATGGAATCATTCCCACATGTGGACCTCACTATAGGATAAATAGTAAAAGACAGAGCAATAAGACTTTCGTATATGCATAACACGGGCGAAAGCGGTGTAAAGGCGCCATATATCTGGTAGCTCGGGGAATAGAAATGTATGCAGCGGACTACTCTCTAATATTCAAAATATAGGTAATATTTATATCCATATTGAGCATCCAGAGAACCTTGGACATGAGATATCATTTCATGAAACATCAATACGCCAAACCAAAACAGGCAATGCACAAGCGCCGGGTATATCAGAACAAAAACCCAAAATGCTTTTTGTAAAGTCCATCACAGAAGATCAAAGTCATCCAACTTCTCACGGTACCGCAAGATGTTGCGCTTGATCTTACTGGAATCAACCCAGGTAACAAAGTCCTCCATGTTACGGGTAACCAAGAAAGCAGGATCATTCACGACCTCCGTACCAACACGGACATGACCCTGCTCAATGAAAGTAGTAGCCTGACAGAAAGAAGTAAAGTCAGCATTACACATTACATTGCATACATCCACCCCAAACCAAATCCCTAACTTACAGCCTTAATAGTCTCAACCATGCCAGAGCGCACCATGAAGACAGCCAATCGGCGACGGCATAACGCAGAAACTGTAACCTCGCGCTCGACCTTGGATAGACCGGCGCCCTGCTCGCGCGACTGCTTCAGGATTCCCATGCGCCACAGCTTCTCCAGCAGCTCGGATTCGAGCTTCTTGCGCAGCGGGTCGGCGTCTGGGTCCAGTTGGGAGAGCTTGTGGGCGAGCTGGCGCAGGGAACCGCAGAGCGCGTTGTATTTGCGGTAGTCCATTGGGTCTTGGAGGAGGTATCGTTGGCGGATTTCATGTTCGCGGTGGTTGCCGTCTGACTTGTAGTTGTGGAAGTCGACCTTCCGGAGAAGTCTGCAGGGGAGTTATTGTTAGCTACTCTTGATCTTTTGTGATATCGTGAAGCTTTGGAGATTGGGTGGGATCGGGCTGAGATTTCTGCGGACGGAAATGTCGGAGCGGACGTACTTCTTCTCGTGGTGCTTGAGTTCACGAACCATTGTGACGGTTGTTTCAGCTGGCTGGTATCAAACTGAAAAAAAGATCGAGAGTGACTGAGCAGAGCGAGGACGTTGTTCCTCGAGAAGAATCGCTGCGATAACAAAAAAATCAAGGCGGTCGATTTCTGCCTCTAGATTGCCACTCACCGCCCGCCTTCCCCAGCCGCAACATCTTTCCCAGTTGATTCTTATCAACATTGGTCGGTTTGAATTCGCGAAATGGAGAATCCAGCTGATACGCCAAGTAAAATGTCAGGTCGCCCTCGGGTGGACCTGGAGCCGTACAAAGCCGAAATCATCGGCCTCTACGAAAAGAAAATGAAGAGTGACGACATTTGCAAGCACATGAAGAGGCAGCATGATATTCAGATCTCGGCGCGTACTCTGACCAAACGCCTACAGCTATGGGGCGTCAAGAAAAAGATGGAGAACAATTCCTCGAACGAAGCGCTACATGCCCGCATCAAAAACCTTTTCTTCGACGTGGGGCTGACCGACCAAGAGATCGTCACCGTTCTACACGACGAGGGCTACGATGTCTCCGCCCGTACGCTACGCAGACTCCGTCACCAGCTTGGGATCCGCCTCCGCCTTGATTCGCCTACGCAACAACAAGCACAGGTCCAGGAGATCCTCGACGCTCTGACCGAGGAAATGGACAAGGGAACCATTGAGGGATATGGAAAGGAACTACTGCACAACCACTTCCGAAGCAAGGGGTACGTCTTTGCCCGAGATCGTCTCTACAGTGTTTATCGCATGCTGCGCCCGGATACAGTCGAACGCCGCACGAGAGATATGCATCGGCCTCCTCCCCGCCGAAGATTCTAGCCGGGCCTAATTTGACCTGGCATGTGAATGGGTACTCAAAGCTAGCCAACTTCGGGTTCCGCATTCATGCCGAGCTCGATGCGTATTCTCGATATGTCCTCTGGATCCATGTTGGTGTGGATGCGCATGCGTCTGTGGGCGTTCTCAAAAACCACCTCGACACTGTTGCTTCTAAAAATCGCCAACCTCGCACTCTTCGATCTGACCTTGAGTCCGAGGTTCCTCTTCTAGCTGATGCTCACTTTGCGCTCCGCCGCGTCACTGAGCCGGATGTCCAGCGAGAGCAATGCTGCGCTCCCGGGCGAGCCACAGATACTCACCGGATTGAATCTTGGTGGGCTCAGCTTGCTAAATCAGTAGTGACACTATACCATGTCAGTCATCTTTCACAGGTTCCACTTGCACTTGATCGCAGAATTCTGACCTTGACCAGAACTATTTCCGCGAACTTCACAACCAAGGTCTCTTCTCCTCAACAGTAATCCCCGAACAAGTCGCCCTCCTCGCAATCTACATGCCCACTCTCCGCTCCCACATCAAATCCTACGTGCAAACCTGGAACATGCACAACATCCGCAAACAAGCAGACCACCCAGAACGCGCCCCTGGAAAACCCTATATGAACTACCACCACCCACCCAAGGGCGTAGAGAACTTCGGCCTCCCAGCCGATGTTCCGACGCTGCAGGCCATGCAACAAAATCACGCCGATTACGACACAGAGCAATATCTACCACCAGACACCCTGCACTGGTGTGAGATGCAACTCCAGCAGCTGGGCTTCGATCCCCATAAACCGCCTGCCCGGCTCCCTGGCGACCTACAGCCGTTCCGCTCAGTTTACTTGGCCCTGCGCGAGCGAGCGTGGCATCACGAGCGGTCTGGGGCTGAGCCGAAGTTGGCTGTTTGTGCATTTCCTGGTCAGGGCTTACGGGGTTATTTCCCCTCTGGGTCTGCACGGTAGATGATGATGAGTATAACGAATAACGAATGGAAGGTCTAGTATTTTCTATTAATGCAAGCACAGCATTTTGCAACTATTAATCTGTTGGAATGGATGTCTTCATGACTCGGACGAACAACATTGAACTATCTCATTTATCAAATCTTCGGTTTTCTTGTAAACTATGTAGAAACTTCCGTATGTATTCTGTTCATCGCTGTACCTAATCTCAAAGATCATGGGGGGAAAGAGGTAGCGTAGTCATATCTCGTAAAGGGCGTCAGACGTGAGATCAATAAATCATGGAAGCCCAGCGCAAAGCAGTATCAAAAGTAGATCAAAAGATAATCCCAGAATGCTCGCAAAGACAAAAAAAAGAGATAAAAAAAGACCCTCAAGAAGACACAGAAGACCCTCCTGCAATCAAACGACTCCTGCCTGCAATCTTCTCACTCAAAGCCCTAATATTCTCCGCTCCCATAATATCAAGCAAAGAAACCTCAGCCTTAAGCTCCTTAACAATCCACGCACGGAACTCCATAGCAACAAGCGAGTCAATACCCCCGAATCCAAATCGCTGAGCATCAAGTTCCGAACAGGGAATAGCAAGCAAAGAAGCAAGTCTCTCAACAATCCCATCCGACACAACAACCACAGCACCCTCAAATCCATCCGCCGCCGACAAAAGCGCCGCAACACTAACACTCTTCTGCTGAGAAACCTCGCTACTCTTCGCCGTTACCGTGTTACGGAAGTGCGTGAACATCGAGTAATTCAGGTACGTAGGCAGGGGGACGCCGTTCTGACGACACATCTCCGCAGTCGGAAGACCGAGGACGAGCTGTGAGCGCGACGATGCATTACCGCCGTCCTGACAGTCGCGGATGAGGAAGTCGACTGTTGCGTGGACCTCTTCTTCGCGGAGAAGCTCGAATAATGTTGCTGTGTGCGTGCGCATCGAGCTTCGGTTCTCGGCTACCCACCCGACGTTGGATACACTGCCCAGGTTTATGCTGGCTGCTTGCATCCCTTTCGACACGCGGTATGCGGCTAGTGCGTCTTGGAAGGTGTTGCCTGCGGCGTAGTTGGATTGTCCGCGGTTGCCGAAGATGCCGGCGACGGAGGAGAGCATAATGAAGAAGTCCATGTTGTGTGGTAGGACTGTGTGCAGGTTCCAGGAACCTTGGACTTTGGGTCTGATGGCTTCTTGCCAGTCGTTGAAGGTGAGTCCGGCGAAGGCGCCGTCCTGGAATATGTTAGTTGTATATTTAGTAAACTGAGGGTTGGGGACTTACCCGTAGGACCATGGATGCTTGGATGCACCCTTTGATAGGAGGTAGGTTGGAAAAGGCCTCTCCGGACAATTGTTGGAGGCTAGAGACGTCGGCCACATCGCAGACCAGCGAATGAACCTTGCATCCCATTCTGCCGAGATCGGCAATCAATTCCATCTTCTCTTTGCTCGAAGCTGATGAGCGCGATAGGATAATCAGGCTTGTTGCGCCGCGAGATGCCATCCATCGTGCTAAGCTCCGGCCCAAGCCACCGTAACCACCGGCAAGAACGTACGAGGCGTCAGGGGTCAAAGTGACATGGTACTATTGGTCGTGGGACCACAGGGACCATGTTGGACGGATTAGGTGCAATCACAACTTTTGCTGCTTCTCCGCTCTGCGCAGCTTGAATACCTTCTTTGATCTGTGTAAAGTCCACGACAGTTGTTGCCCGGAGTTGGCCGATCTTGCCTTCGGAGTACAATCTCATTGCCTCGGTGAGCAGAAGACGAACAGATTTCGGTCGATGCTGAGCCATTAAAGGAATGTCGACTGTGTAAACGCTCATATTGCGAGGGAACGAGGCCATCTCGACTGTGGTATCAGCTCGCAGATTTGAATTCGACACATCCACAAATGTCCCAAATGGAGCAAGGCATGCCATTGAACCCCGGAGTGCCTCGCCGCTCAGCGCGTTGAAGACGACGTCAACACCAGTATGGTTCGTGCACCGCATGACACCCTTGACGAATTTCAGATCTTTCCTGGAGAATATACTTTCTTTAGAGACTCCATAGTCAGAGACAAGCAAATCACGTTCTTCGACTGTTGCCACAGTAGCGTAGATCGTAGCTCCGATCATCTGGGCATATTGAATCGCCGCTTGACTGATATCCGTTGCACCGGTGTGAATCAGGATAGTGTTTTCGGGTGCCAGGTGAGCCATCTCCCCGAGTCCTTGGATTGCTGTCGCATACGCCCAAGCCAAACCGGCTGCGACGTCGAAAGAGATTTCGTCAGGGATTCTCACGAGCTGCAGCTGATCAGCTCGACCGTGTGTACGGACACAACCGCCCTTTTTGTCGCCCGAGATGTAGATGACTCTGTCACCGGGGGCTGGGCCTTCGACTTCCGATCCGACCTTGCTCACAACACCGGCAATCTCATTCGCGAGGCGGCCGGCGGAGACATCTGAAGAAAGACCAATTGCCCGGATCTCAACCTCGACTTCGGTGTCTTTGTGCGATTCTTCATGTTGCGTATCGATGACCCAATAGTATTCCCCGGTGCTAACAGCAGCCTCCTGCAACTCAATGGGAGTATCATAGTCACCGAGTCGTTGAAGCTGAGGAGCTTGCTGAGAGGACTGTCCAGCAAGGAACTGATCCGCAGCCTGCCACTCGTTCAAACGGCCAATGTGTATCAAACCATTCTGCAACATGTACTCGGCGTGGCGATCATTCTCCGTCTTGTCCACGAATTGCCGCTTGATAATCTTGCCAACAGCTGTAGCAAGATTCTGTGGTGAAGCGATGTCTGGCTCCGCCTCTGTCAGGGTGACGATATTTGAGCCATCGGCATCCCGCTCCCAGCGCACTGTTCTGAGAAGACCGAGGTTCATACTTGCATGTGGCTGCGTGAGGGGATTGCAGGTCACCCACAGTAGGTTTTGGCACTCGCTGAGCATCTTCTTGAGTGTGTCGTATTCTGCTTCGGTCATATCGAACAGGTAAGGGGACTCCAAATCCATTAATGAGATGCAAAGGGCATCTGAGAGGATGGAATGTTCCACTTCTATAGGCTCCTTGACGAGAATACTCGTGTATCCCAGTTCCAGCAAAAGTACTTGGAGGTTCTCGATGACCTGCCGGGCTTTCAATGTGCCGAGCGTCAAGATTATCGCAGTGTTCGATGGCTTCTCCGTGGGTATTTTGACGGCTGAAGAAACCAGAATACTCTGCCACGTCAGATCTGGATCGTTCGAACTGGGATACTCGACATCGATGCCCGAGAATCCAGCTTTCAGCAGCAGAGGATTCCATTCTTCGGCCGGGATGTAGGGACACCACTGACGACATGGCTCATCGCCCAGCCACCACCCAGGAAGCTGACCGAAAACAAGCGGATACCAGAGGAAATCCTGTCGGATTCCTTCCTGCATGATGAGCTGACCACCCGGCTTCAACAGCGATCGAAGGTTCGATAATGCGTTATGCAGGTTTGCAGTAGCATGGATGACGTTGCCAGCGAATATCAGGTCATATGTCCCCAGCTGGAGTCCTTGGTCGACGGGGCTCCGCTCAATATTAAGCGATTGGAAGTTCATGATATCGGACCATGGCTGGAAACGCTGTTTTGCTTTCTCGAAGAAGCCGGATGAAATGTCAGTGAATGTGTAGCTGGCAATATTTCCTTTGGTCTTTGCAAGGTCTGGCGAGAGGACGGCCAGGACTTCAGCAGTGAAGCTTCCAGTGCCACCACCGATCTCAAGGATGTTCAGCTCGGAATGCTGGTGCCGGATGAGAGACAAGTGGGTCTGGAGATGCTGCGGCAGGTTACACAAATGGAGGCCTTCCTTGTACACCTGTTCCATCACGGCGTCTTGACCAAACATGAGATGCAGCGGATCAGTCTCCTGCCGCGCAATTTTGGTGATGTTGCGACCCATTCGGGCTGTGATGGCGCCTTCGGCGCTGTGGGCCTCGATTTCCTTGCCAATAGCTTCCTTGAGAGCCTCGTCTTGAGCTATCTCCAGGAACTCATTGTAGGGAAGGTGGGCTATTTCATCGCGCTTGAGCATCGTTTGCACATGCTCCATCCAGTCAAAGAACCTTTGCATATGCAAATCGAGTTCCATGACATGAATGTCTCCGATTTCCTCCAGTGCATCCATGACGTAGAGCATCGTTGCAAGCTGGAGACGTTTCACCCAGTACAGAGCCTCAGTGTCATCGGAAGCATCGAGGGAAGTCAGTGCACAAGCTGATTCTGAGTCGAGGAAATGGATGTCGGGTTTGTATTCAATCGCGCTGCACAGTTTGCGCTCACTATTTTCAGCAAGACCAGACTCCAGTGGAGTGAGCTCGATACCATCCATGCGGATGCGGTGCCTATTAGTCCCCTCATCCAGCATTTGGATTTGGCCCTCGAATTTATCAGATCCCGCCATAGATACGCTTGCATGTCCTGTGAATTTGTGCGTTGGGGCTGAATTCAGATCCGCTGAAACCCAAACATCGTGTATGAAAGTTGGCAATCTGATCTGATCCAGGGTGGACTTGCTGGTAAAGTCAAGAACAGCCGCAATCATCAAGTGGATCATGCTATCCATTGTGGCAGGGTGGATGAGGTGAGAATGTAAATATTGCTTTGGCATGGACTGTGCAATGTCTGGAACAGTCACTGATCCAACGACCTTACCAAGCCCACATCCACTTGCGCGGACGTCTGCGAGGTTTCTGAACAGAGGACCGAAATTGAGGCCGGATGTTTGGAGGTTGTTGTATGTGGATTTAAAGGCCATGGATTTGGTGCATTTCTCATTTGCGCGGAAATGCTCGGATTCCCATGCTCGGCTTTCTTCTTCTGCTTCGCGACCATTGTCCACTGGGTCAGAAGCTGTTTCATGATCAACGGTGATGTTACCAGTACAGTGTTCTGTCCACTCGTTGCTCGATGCATTGTAGGAAGTTATCTGGAACCGCCGCCATGTTCGCGATGACGCCGAGTCTTCGACAGTTGCCATTGCCAAGGAGACTTCAATTCCTTCTTTGGTATCGGGTATAATCAAAGCTCTTCGGATGTTGACCTTTCGTAGTTGGAAACCAGTGATCCTTTCCTCGCCTGCTAACTGCCTCGATGCTTCAATTGCCATTATCAAATAGCCTACACCAGGGTAGACGTAGTTGCCAGTGACCTAAGCCATGTTAGTAAAGGAAGCTGTCTTGTAGGCAATTTTGGACTCACCATATGATCCCTTAGCCAGGGGTTCTCGTTCAATCGGACAAAATGTCTCCATCTGGGAGCAGTAGGATTCCAATCCGTGATTGGTGCACCAAAGAGGTCATGACGAGGGAACTTTCGAGTTCGAAGATTCTTGCTTAGTCGACTCTCAAACAGAATCTTCTCAGTATGCTTGAAGCTGTATGGTGGCAGGTCCACCAACAGTCTGGGCCGCCTTTTTGCCTTAGAACGAAGGGCTTGGTTCACAGCATGGAAATCCAGTTCACATCCACTCGAAGCTAGGAAGCCGACTGTAGTGAGCAGAGTGTTGAGGCTGTGATCTGTCCGTTTAAGAACGGCCAGGTACTTGAATTCCAACTTAGGGCTCTTCGAAGCCAGTGTCTCTTTGATCGCACTCTGCAGGGTTGAGTGAGGCCCTATCTCCACAAGAAGGCGCAGAAAATCTGTGGGTTCGGTCGAGCCATGACTGGAAACTGGGTTCGAGGTCATTGCAACCAAACCGCTTGTGAAAAGAACAGGAGAAACCATATTGTCCACCCAGTACTGAGCAGGCAGATGTTCTTCTTTGACTTGCTGTCCTGTGACAGTAGAGAACATATGCACCTGATGTGGAGCTGCGAGACGTCTTCCGTAAGGGAGCGTTCCCATCAGGCGAAGATAATCCTGAGCAATCGCATGCATGTGGGCTGAGTGATACGCATTTTTGACGTTCAACTTTCGAGCAAAGATGCCATCGGCATCAAGAAGACTCTTCAGGCAGTCAATCATAGCGTCATCTCCAGACACGGTGTTGTTCTTAGGACTGTTGCAGCAGGCGATAATGAGTTCTCCGGTGTTTCTTTCCTTCACGGAGTCCAGATAGGGCTGCAGTTGCGATGCACCTAGACCCACGGCCATCATCGCTCCATTTGCAGAAAGCTGCTTGGATGATACGTATCCGCGGTAGTATGCAACCTTCCAGGCGCCTTCACGGGACAGTTTGCCAGAGCAGTAAGCAGCAGCTATCTCACCGGATGAGTGACCCGTTACACGTTTTGGGAAGATTTCCCAACTGGCCAAGAGATCCACGAGCGCAATTTGCAACACTGTGCATAATGGATGAGCGATCTCGGGCAAGTTGACTCGGGGTGACTCTCTCTCAGTCAAGAGCTCGTCTGTAATATGTTAGTCGGGTGCATTCGGATAAACAGGCTCATCGAATGATTACCAAGTAATGACCACGGACTACCGAGTCGGCGGATATAGTCCGATGCTTCCTCCACGGACTCCTGGAAAACAGGGTAGACCATGAGCTCTCGGCCCATGGCCTGGTATTGAGCTCCCTGGCCAGTGAAAACAAATTCAACCTCTGGCACTCTGGCGGTTCTGGTTGGCTTAGCAAAATTCGATTCCGACAGGTTCCATGCGAGTTCTTTGACAGAGGTTGCCATGACGAAACTCTTCCAGGGAAACTGGGATCGTTTCTTTGACAGGGTAAAGGAGAGATCATCAAGGAGATGGTCATGGAGAACCGACTGCGTCGTTCTCCGGTTCAAGTATTTGGCGAATTCAGCTGCGTTTCCGCTTGACGCCATCTTCATCGAAAGCTGAGAGCAAGAATACTTTCGGTTTCTCGACCAAGCTCGTGTATGTAGATGTTGTGAAGGTGGGTGATGCACAAAAGCCATCGCTTGTGGGTGTGTCCATAAAGGTATTCCCATTCCCAGAGTGATCGCTGTCATCGAATGAATCCGTCACGAGATGATTTGGCTCTTTCCCTGATCGGGACAGGGCCAAGAGCCGGCTCTTGATTTTCTGGATTGTCGGAACAGTAGATGTGGTGCGGTGGGCACCTGTAAGACGGCGGTCATTGAGATAGTGGTAAGCATCATCAAGAATGCAGTGAGCATTGGTGCCACCAATTCCAAATGAGTTGACTGACACTCTTCGCAGCCCTGGCGATGGCCATGGAAGAGCCTCGGTAGGGAATGCAATGTTCCAGTCCGCGGCAGGAATGGAGGGATTCGTCTGCTTCATATCAAAGTTTGCAGGTATGATACCAGACTCAAGGGTTCAGGATAGATTTGATAATGCTTGCCACACCTGAGCCACCTTCCAGATGCCCAATGGAAGTCTTGATCGCCCCGACGTAAAGCGGAGTCTCTCGCTGACATTTGAATGCTTTCGCAAGAGCACCCGCTTCGATTGGGTCACCGGTGCTTGTTCCCGTGCCATGGGCTTCAACAAATCTTGTGTGTTCGAGATCTAAGCCGGCTCTCCAGTAGACCTCACGGATCAATCTTTCTTGGGCATCTGCACTGGGAACAGTGATTCCTGCCGTGCGGCCATCCTGGTTGACTCCGGTCTCCCGAATAACCGCACGAATGGTATCTCCGTCTCTTATAGCGGCACTCAAAGGCTTCACCACAACTGTGCCCACGCCTTCGCCTCGTGCATAGCCTTCGGCACGGGAGTCGAAGCTGAACGATCGTCCCTGAGGTCCCAATAAACCATGGTGGCTCATGCCGATGGTTTCCACGGGGTTCTCAAGAATACTCACACCACTGACGACAGCCTTAACCATTATCGATATATTAGCATGAGAATATCGGTGTCAAGACGGATAACGTACCATGTTTGTCTCTCTGGCACGTAAGCTCTGAACAGCAAGATGCAGCGCCACCAAGCTGCTGGAACAAGCCGTGTCAATAGTCATGCTAGGTCCTTTAAAGTCAAAGAACCAGCTCACACGGTTGGACAGAATAGCATTGGTGGCACCTGTGGGCTTGTATTTTAAAGTGGTTTCTGGGTCTGAATTGAGGATACCCAGGTAGTCATGGTTGAAACCACTGACAAAGGCCGATGTGTTGGAGCCAACAGCACTGGTCAATGGAATGCCTGCATTTTCCAAGGCGTGATAAACATTTTCCAGTACCAACCGCTGTTGGGGATCCAATGTCAAGAGCTCATTCTTGGTGATATTGAAGAAGGACCCATCGAAGTAGGCAGGGTCTTCTGAGAGGTAGTGTCCTCCTTGAACATGAAACTACAGATAGATATCAATTAACCGATTATTTTTCATGGCGGTATTGGTCTGTCATGGTTCGGATATAACTCACTGTTCCACCATGCTCGGGGTCCGGATGATAGAAGGCGTCCGAGTTGAAGCGTTCTTTGGGTATCGATGACCACGTCGAGCGGGCCTGTAGGAGAAGCTCCCATAGACTCTCGGTGGTTGTTGCTTGCTGCGGAAAGCGAGTGGCTAGGCCAACGATAGCGATGGCTTCAAGAGCATCAGGAGATATGGCTCCATCGCTGCTAGGGCCGCTTGCTAGTGAGAGAGGACGCATCTTCCGATATCAAAAGGGACCCTTGATATGGCAATAGGTCCGAGTTTAGAAGAGATGGGGAGTAGATGAAGGAGGTATAAAGAGGAAGGTATGGACACTGAAGAGTCAAGATTGGGATAAAGTGAAGATAGAGTGATAATATAAGATGATTGAGGATCGAGATGGGATGGGATTTTGATAGCAAACCACTGCGTACCCCCTCCCTCATATACCAACCTCGACGCTGAACCATATGAGCAAATGCATGTGAAGCTAAGAGAAACAGGATCCGCGAAGGGGCCCAAAGCATTTGGAAACCCGAGATTGGCAGTCTGGCGGTGGGCTGGCGGTGGGCATGAGCATCTTTACTGAACTTCGCGAGCTTCCTATTTTGATTGCGTTCACTAAAAAAGTGGATATTAGGCTTGTTGGTATTTGGAAAATCAAGGGCTTCCAGGGCTGTTATTCCTGTATATACTTTGTATGTACTTTCAACGGTGAGCGGTAAATCTATACAATCTATAAGCATGATTGGCCTATACAGGGATGTATCCTGAAAAGTATGATGTATTCATGTAATAATTTTCCAAGTGAGTCATTGTCTCATGAATATTCTCTCAATTAAACCAGAAAACAGCAATTTTTGGATGCCATACGTTTCATATGCCAAGAATGAGGCGTATGTAGATGTTTCCAGAAGTAGATTGCTACATATATACAAACCCTACCTACATAGGTATACATGCTGAACCAAGGTCGGAAGCAAAGCCATCAAATCCGAGCTACTGGGCCAGCGGGGATATGCATTGCCGTTAGTATAGCTTGCAGCACAACGTTTGTCGATCGCTGTCAAATTCGGGTCTGAGGCTTTTCTTTGCATTAAAATGCTAAAATATGCACAGTTGATTGGTTACCAGGATATCAGGACGAGATCGACACGAGTTGTCCATTCGCCTGTTTGCCCTAGAAGCTTCCAAGGTTCCATGGGAGATTAAAGTCACAACAGCCGTCTTACAGCATATTTCCCCGATGGCTCTGCAGCATATCAGCCCGGGGTCAATATAGGTTTACAGTTAACATGCGTCATATGAAGTAGAAGCCATCATTATATGAGCTGCTTCATTTATTCCAAGCTGTGTGGTTAGTCGAACGAAAAAGCAATATGATTATAAGTTGATGTATCCAATTTACTTTGACATCAGGGAGCTATAACACAACCCTGCTAGCAACAAATACTCCTAATAATCTTGAATATCAAGTCCTAAGCAGTAAATCAAACCACCACAATCCCACACCGCAACCCGCTATGGCCAATCTATCTGTTTGAATCCCCTCATCTTCCGGGGCGTTACTGGTTAAGGAAGGAGACAACCCCCAGCAGCGTGGATAGAGAGCATAATTCCACGATCCAAGGGCTCCACAACTTCAGCTGTCAAAGCAGTCCTCGTAGCTTTCTTTGATGCACTATGCAGACTACACGAACGCCCCATGAAAGGAGATGCTACGACGTACATGAAGCTATCGAACTATGCATGTGGAGACGTAATTGACCAATCCTTTTTGGAAGGATGGTCATGAGTGCTTTTTGCTTCCATGTGGGCAACCTCACAGTGCCTATCGCACCATGAAACTATCGCTCCGGGAGGAAACCCGCGTCTGCCGGCCTAATTTCCGGATTTGCTTATCATTAGCCTGTCCTTAAAGTCTTTTTAGAGCTGCATCTAGCCGCGGTCCCCGCAACGTGGACGGCATGCATTGGCTAATTTTTCCATTCGGTCTATCATAGGCTCGTATATTAGGTTTTCCCAAATTATGGACAGTGGTGGATATCCATACTATATCTGGCATGGGGGCTATATAGGTACAGACGCGCTAAATTATTATAGTTTGGGATGCCATGTCGGCAAATCATTTCCTGGAAAGCTGATCCTTCCAGATGGTAAGCACTTTGTATTGTAGTCTAATCTAGTATGTCTTATCCTTGCCTACATATTGTAGATTGACAGCCTATCTATCCGATAGGTTGAAATCCCACGGTTTGTAGCTTATTTTTGGGAAGATTTCCTTTGTATGAATTTCAACTCTGGCTTCATGGGTGAAACCTTGAGAAATTGATTGCTCTCTGTTCCCATCCCCGGCCCGTTTGAGGTATTTCCATGAAGTCTCTTGTGAGAATGGATATTTAATCCGGAAACTGGAATCTACTGTGTAAAAGAACAATGTATGTTTCCGTTATATGTCTTTATCTAGATATCTCTTGAAGATATACATGGGGTATAAAATGGAACCCATAGCACAAACAGTACTCTGGAGACTAAACCCTCTAAAATAAACCACATCCGATTGCAATAAACAGAAACACCGTCTTCCCCAACTCTACAAAATCCAAACAACGCCGTTACCCGCGAAGTGGATGCTTCTAGACTGTTTGCACATGGAGCCCCTAGCCGAACCTTCAAACGACCGATATCTGACCAATCGATATCACATTGGACACGAACATGAAATGACGGTCAAGGAAGTGGGTTATGCGTGTAGTTCAAAGCAAACCAAGCTTATTCACTACAACATCCAATCCCTGTCCTAGACTACCTTACCCCTGCCTTGCCTTCGCCCTCTAAGGCCTATTCCGGTTAGACCATCGCCGTAGATCTATGCGCTGTCCACCCTGTCTTTCTTTGTTTACATACTGCGCCACTGAACCCACCATGTGGGATGTACGCATCGGGACCAAACAGTGTTAGGAGGAATCAGAATCTGGAGTTTCGTGCATTGGAGACTGGATTAATGGATCTGACAGATCGTCGATCTACATCTGGCATTGAGCCGACATGGGCAGTATCCTGGTCCCACGTGTATCGATTAAAGCCACTTAAACGAGTCTACGGAGAAGTCCGTAGAGGCTTTAGTGTATGCCGAGAGAGTTCAAATGCAATTGCCGGGCCAATTGGGCTGTCTTTTTACAGATATACTCTACTCTACTCGAGAAACCCAGACCTCTCTCTCCTTACCTTGTAGAATTCGGACAGGGTCTATCGTATATCATTTCCAGCATTTCAATACAAGCCAAGGGTCTAATCTAATCCAGTCCAAAGCCTTTAAATGCACGCAAATCAACAGATGCAATCAATATACAATGACCACGAAGGGAAAAGGGAAAAGGGAATCAAAATAACAAGGCTTGGATATGTAATCATCACAACTCATCCTTATCCTCCGCCGGCGGAGAGACAACCGGTCGCCCAGAATCCTTCGCCAAATCAACTCCAACCTTCTTGCGCCACTTCTCCCAAAGGGCATGGAAGTCCTTCTCCATCCCGCTCTCCATCTGATCCGGCAGGATAACAGTATACTCAACGAACAGATTACCCGCCTCATCATTCTCATCATGGTGATCATGTAAATGACCTTCGGAGTAATGCGGCATTCCCTCACCGGCAATAGTCTCAACAGCCAAGGGTTGCACGACCTCACCACGTCCACGTCCAAGACGAACAACATGTCCATCAAGGTGCGTAAGATTGCGAGTCCAACCACCCATCCACGCCTCACGCAGCGAAAGAGTCTCCTTCCAGAAAAGATCCTTCCCCTTCCGCCGGAAGAACGTCCCATCCGTTTTCTCCTCCTCCTCCGTCCCAAGTTCAGGCTCCTTCTCATCCAAAATAACAATCAGATCCCCAGCGATCCAGTCCGGACTCTCATCAGCCTCATTCTCAAACACAAGCCTAGTCCCCTTGCCCATCCCGGGCTCAATAGTAGCACTGGTCTCGACCTCATTCCTAACAACCCGATTCCCATGACAAACAGGACAAGGATTCTTAATCTTCTTCCCCTGCCCATGACACTTATCACACTGCATCTGCACCTGCTGGAACATCCCCGGCGCAAGCATATGTTTCTGAATAACCATACCACGCCCAGAGCACCGATCACAAGTAACAACCTGTCGATCCTTCGATCCCGTCCCCTCACACGCATCACAAATCTGCTGCTTCTCAACGAGGAAGTTGATCTCGCGCCCATTATAGAAATCCCGCAACGGCAGCGCCGCCCGCACCTCCATATCCGGTCCGCGACGGTGTCCAGGCGCGTGGCCCGAGTGTCCGCCTCCACCGAAGAATCGCGAGAACAGGTCGAATGGGTCGTGGCTGCCGCGGCCGCTTGGCCCTTGCGGTGCTGCTCTACCCCGTCGTGTCCGTATTGGTCGTATACTTTGCGCAGCGCGCTGGTGGAGAGAACGTCGTAGGCGTCTGCTATTTCGACAAATTTCTCGCGCGCCGTATCATCGCCACTAGGTGGGTTAGCAATTGCCTTGCGGGTGTAATGTGGACCGTTCGTGAAGCCAGGTAGGTATTTGGGAAAATATGAAAGGATAGAAATGAGAGAATAGTAGCTGCACTCACGGGTTCTTGTCCGGGTGGTATTTCTTGCTTAGTGTTCTGTATGCGCGCTTGATGTCCCTCTCTGACGCGGACTTCGCGAGTCCCAGCACCTTGTAGTAATCCTCGGCGGCGATTACAACGACGGAGAATAGCACCACGGCTACCGCGACTAGGAGTCGTAATAATTGCATTTTGGCGGGAGCTGCGCGAGCAGCTGCTCGTGCGCTCGGGGGGGGATGTGGAGCTTGTGTTCGTGTAGACCGAGGTATGTAGGTAGGTGAAGGCTTCGACGACCTGGGGTTTTGGAGGATTTGTGATGTTTAATTATTTGACATGTAGTATGCGATTGCCAGTAACACTGTTGTTCCCCTCCACCGAGCTTTATGCCAGAGAGTAAAGAATTTGAGATTGGAGGTGTTGGCTCCGCGGCTTCATTATTCTAGATCTACATTAGGTGGCCTAAAACAGGAACAATGTTTAGCCGGATCACGTGGTAGCATACGGATTGGGAGTAGGACTACGTGCTTGGGAAATAAGCAATACACAGTAGGTGATTTAGAGTAAAGGAGTAGAATTTGACTTAGAATTAGTACTTTCAATAAGAGAATACATTTGAAGGGAGTTCTATTTATGCGGTGCAGCTGTGTATGGTTATATCGTCTACTCTCGCGTTCAGTCCCATAGATATACATGAGAGTAAGTAGGAAGAGTAGATCCAAAGTGGTATGTATCTCGTTCATGCCCACCAAAAAATGTACTTTACATAGAAAATGCCAGAGGTTTCGTATCACCAATTGCTATTCGCATACATAAGATCATCAGTTCTAGGATGTAGACATGCTCGGGTACTGAGGTGTATATAATAACTGAACGGACCGTTGGATCGGAGAAATCAATGGAAGTATAGAATTTCGTCACATCGATGGAGTATTCAACGCCTCCGACACGGATCTGGATGGTGGGATCATATTCCACACACTGTATTCTGGCCTACTATACGATGAGCTCATAACATCAGGTAGATCATTAATATGCTGGTGCTATACCCGCATGCGATCAGAGACACTCTGATATAGTGGTTATATTGATGTTGATTCTAAACGGAGTTTGGTCTGGCAAGAGATGAAATAACTAGAAAGTCCTTGAGCTTCTTCGGGTTGGAATTAATAAACATAGCAACTACGAGTGGAAAAGGTGGGAGGTTTCCACAAAGTGAGAGCATGGAGAGCATTTGTTGCCATATAGCTCTCTATATAGCTTCATGGAGACAAAGAACAAGCCGCAGAATAAGGGGCAAAGAGAGGTCTGATACAGCCCGCCTGAGTAAACAGCAGACATCGCCTTGCTGTAATCCGAAGGGCTGAGGGTTTTGTTTCCTAACCGGGTAGGAGACCTACCTTACAACGTCATTAGGCTCCATTGGCGCTTAATTCGGCAGATCATTCCGCAATAAAAACAAAGACGAGAGCACTAGTAAGAAAAACGAAAACCATCAAGCACGGGCTGACATCCATCATAAAATCATAAACCCGCTAACATCCCCGAACTCCCAAATCAGATAAGAAATGCAATCAGTATCGTCCAGCCACATTAAAGATATCATTATGCCAGGTATGGCCAAGCCCTTGCGTCTCATCTCCCTCCTCAATAGCTTCCTGCGCGCGTGTAGCTTCCTCATGCCAGGTCTTGATAATACTGCCGGGAGCATAAATACCCTCAAAGACACCCTGCGGCTCAATACCAATCCTAGCCTCGACATCCGTGTCAGCGGGTTTAAGGCGCGCGAGGACAGCCCGCACAAAGGTCGCCAGGTCCTGCGGGTTAGCGATGCGCGTAGCACGCAGCCGTTCACGGGCAAAGACTAGCTCGCGATTCAGCGCAAATGTCGCTGCAACAATCTCCTCTGCAATCTTCTTCTCCAGAACGCGCCGCACAAGATGTTTCAGGAATGGCTTGGTCAGCCAGACGAGGAATCTCCACTTGCTGCGCTTGACTGTGTAGTCGAGTTTGTGGATGCAGACGCGAACACCGCGCAAGGAGAAGATACGCTCCAGGCGGTCGCGGCCGACTTCGATATCTAGCGAGATGTCGATACCGCGGCGGTCTAGGTAGAAGCTTGCTATGCCTTCGTCCTTCAGGTGGAAGAAGCCTGTGTGGGCGCGGAACCAGTAGCCGAAGTCTTCGGCGCTGATGTTTAGGCCTTGGACGGTGACTGTGAAGGCTGTTTTCATGAGTGTTTCTGTGCGCTTGGAGTGGGTTTTCACCACGTCGATGTCGTTGCGAGTGAGGAGATGCATGCGGTAGGGGAGGAAGGAGGAGAAGTTTACTGTGTGCCCGGGTTCAAGGACTAGGTTCTCGACGAGGAGGTCCATTTCTGGAGCAGAGATCTCCAGGCGAGGGATTGGGATGTATTGGAGTGTTCGGAGGAGCACTGGGATGAAGACATTCACCAAGTCTGCTGGAAGGTCCGCCTTCTTGTCATTGTATGCACCACACGCGTCGTGGTAGATCTTCTTAGTGGCATTGGTTAGTTTGGAGACGGCTGGGTCTTCCGGCACAGTTCGAAGTGTGCGTTTGGTCTGGGCTAGGAAATCGTCCACATCCTTTCGTAGGCCGGTCTCCGAGCTTACTTTGCTGGAGTGTTGTTTGAGTTCATCGAGCTTCTGCGGTGCCGAGTCGAAGAACTCGGGGTTGGAGAGCATGTCATGCAACGAAGTCCCGACGTCTTTGAGTAGATTATCAAACTCGGGGTCTTTGTTTGCATGGCGCAAGACATTGTGAAACTTCTCCTGCAGCCGATCCCACTCTTCTGCGCTACCGAATGACCGCAAGAGAATCCAGAATTCGTCGACCGCCCGCCGGAGGTCATCATTGACTCCCAGCTCTTCTTGAGCGACCGAGGCAGTATTCTCCGCTACATCCGCGTAGATCCTAGCATAGCGTGCTATCAATTGAGTAAGTGTCGACACCGAATCAGAGTAGTCCGTCCTCTCCCGGAGCTTTTGAACCGCTTGTTTCAACCGGAACAGCAAGGTGTCCCTCTGTCGGCCTGACAGGTGCTCCTTAGCGCTCTTTACAGCATCATGACTTGTCTGAGCGATCCCTTCCCCGGCCACATCCGCAACATGTGCAGCTTCCTCCTTCACCTCGGCCTTCGACAGCGCGTGCCCCTCATCGGCACCGGCCCCCTGTAGAGCCTGTTCTTCTTCCTCGGACGGTTTTGCTTGTTCGGCAACTCGCTTGGAAGATTCAGCGAGGGAGTCAGCGGTATCAGCGAAGATCTGGCGGCCAACGGTAACGATATCATCGACGAAAAGACGGAAATCGGCATTAGTCAGAAGCAGACCGCCGACGGTGCGGAAGCTGTCATATGCTAGGCGCAGGGGTTAGCAAACGATCATCAGTTTTGTAATTTGCATGTGCCAAGGCCCGGAAGCTGGGGGAGTTGCAGAGGGGGAAATGCGCGACCCACCAGCTTTAGTATCTGCCCGCGCCTTCACGTGGGCAGCCTGTCTCGAAACCCTCTCGCTATCCACCTCGACACGTGAACGGGCCAGGCGCCACAGAAATTGCTGGAGCTGGTCTTGGCCGTTCTTCTGTTCCAGAAATTCGATGAAGACCTGGATCCACAGTCGACTGTCCCGCACTAGTTGGCGACCGACGCTGCCAATGTCCTGATTGCGCAGGTTGAGGACATCAGAAGCTAGAAGGGTGCGCAGATTGGCGATGGTCTGTTCGGTTGTTGGCATGTACCCCTCAGAGATGGCGCGGATCATCTGGTAGCTATGTAGCTTTTGGTGGAGGCGTCGCTGACGGGAGGTGTCATCCTCGTAGCGAGGGAGGAGGGGTTCAGTCTCGGAGGGCATATTGAATAAGGCCCTATTAGACCGAGTGAGATAACTGTAATGTTTGGAGATGAAGCTGAATGAAGGTTGAAGTTCTACGTAGGGATGAGTTAAGCTTGGGAACCTGTTTTGGGCACATGACGACACATCACTCAGTGCAACGTAAATGTTTGTTCTCGTTATTTTGCTGTTAGGGGACACTAAAGACAGGATGTTTCTTGATTATGCTTCTTATTAATTAATAGATTGTTTAAGAGACTTGAAGCTCCAAAGTAATTGAAATAATTGAAGCCATCATGTACAATAGTGAAGAATCGATGATCGTGGGGAAAGCTATGGATTTAGCCGGGCCATTTATCGGAGCCTTTATGCAACCATGGCAATAGCTCCAACTAGATCGGGCTTATTTCAATGTTTACTTCATTTGATCGTTCACTTATCCATTCTGCGCTTTTAAAGGCAATTATTGACAGGGAGAGACCCTGATCTGCGGAAGAAAGGGGACAAAAGCAATCAAAAATGTACATATATGCCTCATACAATTCGAGAATGATACGTCCAATCTCGGATGAGCTCACTCACATTCTACGATGTACACCCATGTGGGAAATCGCCAAGTCCTTCTAAGCCCCCAACGTTGGGAACTGCAGGTGGGAAGAGTTGAGTTCGGAGATATGTATCTAATATGTACAATATACGCAGTAGAGCAGAGCATAGGAACGAAAATTATAAAATTATTAATAGAAGCTTTACGCCTTACACAGAGCTTCCTCCCTACCCGGACAAGGGGTCCAATCGGTGCTGGGATATGAAATCCCTGGATTCCGAATTGTTTTTCTTCCGACGAAGCTGAAGTGGATGTGGTTCCAGACCTGACAATGGAATATTCGAATTGAAGGGGCAAAAAAAAAAAATAGCGCAACCGTGCTGGAGAATATGTAATCAAAAATCTTTGAGGTCTGTCGGCGACCGAGAGCCATTCACAAAGCGAATATCATCGCCAACGCGGCGGACTCGAAACAGGAGGCCAAAAGGTCTCACCGGGAAGCCCATCCGATCGGAGCTCCCTACGAATGTTATTTTCCTATCTATACCTAGGTACTCCGTACATGGAGATATACTTATGTCCACCGTGTGATATTCTAGGGCGGCAGTCTCCGTCGCCGGCCTCCGACATACAATTATTTTCCCGATCAACTCTCCAATACTCCGTAACCTTTTGAAGAGGCTAAAGTCGAAATTTAAAAAATTTAAATAAAAAAAAAATTTAAAAAAAAGGAAACACCGAATAGAATTAATTAGGGTATAGCTTCACTCCACTTCGGCACTATCTGCGGCTCTGGGAG